AGTGGTTATACCAAGTCAATGAGCTGTACTCACTGGAGTGCATGGAGTGGTTATACCAAGTCAATGAGCTGTACTCACTGGAGTGCATGGAGTGGTTATACCAAGCCAATGAGCTGCACTCACTGTTGAGATATTCCGACAGTGGCGGGTACTACAATAGCCTGGCAGGGAGGATTCACCAATCTGCGCTGTTTAGTATGGAGGAGGAATCAGTAGGATCTCTTTCAGCCCACAACCTGAATGAAGGAAATCCATGCAAGCATGCCCAGCTCAACTCAAACCTTTGGATTTTCTAAATTGCTCACAGAGAGGCAAGTGAGAGTTCCACCATTTATTCCCATCTCTGCAAAACACAGCCCCTCCTCTAGAATGGAAATGCCTCTTCACTGTAATTAAGGCTTCAGATGTGTTTTTTTTCTCCCCTTGACAATTCATCTGAAATGATCTTGTGCTCAAAAGGGCACTACAGGTGAAATTCAGCCTCGGGGTAATTACAGCTTCTCCATTCCTTTATCCGTGCCTGTCAAATATGTTTAAAACATGTAAGGAGATTAGCATGATGTTAAAAATCTGATCATTGCAAGTTATTTAACACAAAAGGGAGAAAATGTTTCTTTGGGGTCCATTTATTCATGTTTTCACCCAAGATTCACACATTTTTCTGACTGAATTCAGTTGAAAAATGTGGGAATCCTGGGTGAAAGTTCCGTGAAAGCATTTATAAATGGAATCCCATGTATAATTGGTAATTTTATATATACATGGGGGCATCCACATTTGCTCATTACATCCACAACTTCTGCTGCCTGCTTCTTCACAATGGCTGTGCTTCAGCTACTCCTCACAATAGAAATCCTTGAGTCAGATGACTTATTAAAAGAGGACCTTTACACCCCTCCCCCCATATACATTCATTATTTAAACAAACATATTTGTTTTAATTACATTTACTAGGGATGCATTGATACTGAACTAGTATTGGTGCAGATACCAAGTATTTGGGCGAGTACTCATACTCGCCCAAATGCCCCGATACCTTCCCCAATACCATAACTTCCAGTCAAAGGGAGATCTCCCTCTGACCGCAAGAGCAAAGAGAGCATGGAGCCGGCTTCCTTTCCAATCAGGAAGTTGGGCGGTTGTCTATGACCCACCGCCCGAGTTCCTGATTGGCTAGGAAGCTAGCTTCACTTGTTGCTAAGCGACCTGGCTTCCTAACCAAACAAGAAGCTGGGCGGCACATCTTGACTCGCGTCCTGGCTTCCTGATTTGTCAGGAAGCACGCTACCTAGCAACAAGTGATGCGGCTTCCTAGCCAATCAGAAAGCCGGGAGGCAGGTCATCACAAGACGCCAGGCTTCCTGATTGGTCAGGAAGCCAGGCTGCCTAGCAACAAGTGAATCTGGCTTCCTAGCCAATCAGGAAGCCAGACGGCGTTTTATGACCTGCCGTCCGGCTTCCTGACTGGCCAGGAAACAAGACAGCCTCGGCATGTGAAGCCGGTGTTCTTTCGCCAGAACGCCGGCTTCACAGGCAATCAGGAAGCCGGGCGACAGGTCATGATCCGCCGCCATACTTCCTGATCATCTAGGCACACGGTACTCGGTATCGGCGAGTACTAGGGATGCACCGATACCGATACAAGCATCGGTATCGGCCGCGATACCGAGTATTTGCATGGGTACTCGTACTCGTGCAAATGCTCTGATGTCTAAAACGAGTACCTGTGTCCGCCATCTTCCACCGCCGCACACAGGACCGCGTCTGCATTCATGCAAGATGGCCGCAAACTCCTCCACGGGCGAACGGCCGAAACCAGACTCCGCCTTCAATTCCTCTGTCCTCACTCGTGATTGGTGGGGAAGCCTGTCAATCATCCAATCGGCCAATCAGCGTGAGAAGAGGCAATTCCTCTGTCCTCACTCGTGATTGGTGGGGAAGCCTGTCAATCATCCAATCAGCGTGTGAAGAGTCCAGCATTGACAGATGACTAGGCTGTGACACGAGGGGATGAAGCAGACGGAGATGACGGAGAAGAAGGTTAGCAGCACTGCTGGGGCTGGGCACAGGATGGGGGGTGGGCACAGGATGGCCTCAAAAGTTATATTTGCCTGCTGTAGGTTTATAAATTTTAAAAAAAATGCACTATTGCTTGCTATTCTATTTTGATGAGGCAAATCATGGATGAGGCAGAGCACATGTTCAGCATAAAAAACAGGATGGCATAAAAAAAAGTTATATTTGCCTGCTGTAATGCAATTAGTAATTGCATTACAGCAGGCAAATATAACTTTTTTTTATGCCATCCTGTGCCCAGCACACACCTGTAGTGTGGCAAAGTTATATCTAATTCTGCATACATGGCTGTATATGCATTATGCACTACAGTGTTCTGGTCTGAACATGTGCTCTGCCTCATCCATGATTTGCCTCATCCAAATAGAATAGCAAGCAGTAGTGATTTTTTTTATTTTTAAACCTAATTGCTATTCTATAACTAAGCCTTGTATCCCCATATGTGCATAATGCATACATATAGTGTGGAACAGTTATATTTATTTCTGCATACCTGGCTGTATATTAAATTTTTTAATGTATAATATACAGCCAGGTATGCAGAATTAGATATAACTGTGCCACACTACAGGTGTGGGCTGGGCACAGGATGGCATAAAAAAAAGTTATATCTGCCCCTTTAAGAAAAAGTATCGGTAATTGGTATCGACGAGTACTAAAAAAAAAGTATCGGTACTTGTACTCAGACCCAAAAAAGTGGTATCGGTGCATCCCTAGCGAGTACCAAAAAAAAAACTAAATATCGGTACTCGTAACCGAAAAACGGGTATCGTTGCATCGCTAACAATTACGGTTTTCCCCTCCCTGCTTCAATGAGGAAGGCTACATCACCAGTGCCTTCCTGGGAAATCTTATCTGTAAACTGTAAAATGTCGAGAGATCTCAGGGGGAAAGGCATTTATTTCCACCGGAGATGATGGGTATCATCACTTGTTCCAGAAGACAGATCCAGAGTTCCAGGAAGTAAAGGAAAATGGATTAATCTGCCCTTGAGAAGAATGTGGAAGAGAAGAAAAATAAGATATGCAAAGAATAAAAAGCCAGCAATTATCTAGAAGTATTTGTAGATTGTCATCACTAAACATTTCTAAAGGTGTCATTGTTGTCAATTTTATGAGTGAAGATCCTCTTAATAAATGGTTCACGCCTTGCAAGGCTCAGATCCAGGGGGAGACCTACCGCCAGTGCGGCCGCCCCGGGGTCTGAGCCTAAAGGGGGGCCCAGTTTCCAATGTAACACAGGGGCAGAGATGGGGGGCCCCGCTGGTGTCCGGCTGCTGGATAGCATATTATCGGTAGAAGGCTGCAGAAAAACGCGTCCGATAGCGTTTGCTGGGTCCTCACGGCCGAGGCCCAGGGTTGCCCCCTGAAGTGCCTGCAGGCAACATTTTTCTGCAGCCTCCCCCACCAGGAAACAGCCAGAAGAGATGAAGGGAAGTTATTAAATAAAATAATTATTTTTTGTAGCCCAACTGATGGACATGGTGTATAAAGTACAGCTGGTATTTGTAGTGTTATAAAGCATGTCCCATTCTGCATTGCAGCAATGCAGAATGGGACTCTATAGAGGACTACAAAACTCAGCAGTACTTTATACAGAAATGCTATCATTCCAACTCTATTTTTTTTTTGTGGTTGCTACAGGGGATGTGGGTTTGGGTTTTTTTGGGGGGGAGGTGCGGGAGTCTTGCACTTTGTTCCCTAGGTCTGCCACTGCTCAGATCTTATCTGAACGCTTGTTAAAGCATGTCAAAACCCAAAAACGTTATTTCTTGTCATGTTTACGGGATTGAAAGTGAAGAGAACTCCCACCCAACCGGGTACAAAGAATTTCATCTCATCTTTCACAAAGTGAGGTTTTACCTGGCAAGTTGACTTCCATCAGGTACTTCATACACAGCACATTGGGATGATAAAAACACGTTTCTGTGATCGACGGAAAGCAAGGTAGATCTAGGAATGTTCCAAGCTCATGGGTCAATTCAATTATTTGTCTGTACACCGGGAAAGTCTGTAAAAGAAAAATAAATCATTTTATATATCTTGTTTCACAACTATCCACATAACTCATAAGAGAATAAAACAAAAGCATCTCATCTTCATAGCATCAATGATTTTTAGAACTAGAAGTGAAGAATAGAATAGATTGCACAAATGTGACCAATCACAAGCTGGGTCACAAATAGGGCTGTAACTAACAATAATACGCAGCTACCAGCTGAGTAGATGGATGACAGCTAAATAACATGCATAAAACCTCATAGTTGTGTATCTGCTGTGTGAAAGGCATTGTGCCTCTTACTGCTATTCACTCAAGATTTGGAGTTAGATTTGATGATGTCATTACTGTGTTGCTCATGGTTCTCTTTGCTGGAGAGAAAGCTGCAGTGAAAAGATCTCCATTTCTGAATCATACATACAGTCTGTGGGTTTTTTGTGCCAATTGTTGATCATTATAATCCCACCTCAACCTAACCACCGAACCATCACATTCTCAAACAATTCAACCCCACACAGCCCCCTCTTCATGTATCAGTTCCTCCTCCCTTTTAGATTGCAAGCCCTCTTGTCTTGTATTGTAACTGTAATGTCTTCCTTATATTGTAAAGTGCTGCGCAAACTGTTGGCGCTAGATAAATCCTGTATAATAATAATAAAATACACCGGTCAGACATAACAGTCTGACCTCCCGCCTAATATTGAGTAGGTCCCCTTTTGCCACCAAAGCAGCTCTGACCTATCAAGGCATGGACTCCATTAGACCTCTGAGGTATGCTGCGGTATCTGGCACCAGGCCGCCAGTAGCGGGTCCTGTAAGTGGCAAGGTGGGGCAACTGCCTGTGCTGTCCCATAGCAATGATAAAGGGGCCGCAGAGAAAGGTTTATTGCATATCTATTGTCCATTTTAACTTCATGCGAACAGTTAAATTAAATTAAATCTGTTTTCTTTAAAGCAGGGAATGAAACGGAAAGATGACTTAATGAACCAACTGGACAGAACTTTAATAAACGACAGGGCTTCACCAATCCTTAACTTTTTCCCCCTTCTGGACACTGGTGGCTAAATTCGATCAGAAAACTGTAGGGGGTTCAGGGAATGGCGAGAGGAGTCAAATGCCTCTTTATTGCTCAGAGAGCTCCTCTCTCTTGCTTGGTGGCCTGTACTGTTAAAGTAATTCTCCATATAAAGCAAAATAAAGATCTTCATTTGGGATGTGTGGGAGCTTGGTGTGAACCCAGTTTGCCTGAGTTTCCTCAATCTTGCTCATAACTGTGACCAACACACCCCCCCCTCCCAACCTAATCAGTTTCAACGTGCAGCTATACATCACAAAGGGATGAGGAATGCCCCCCGCCATGGATTAGGCCAGAAAGGGGGGGTGGAGGGCGGTCAGAGTTTTGAGTGGATGTGGGTGAATTGGGTTCTCACCAAGCCCGGGCTCATCACTAATCTTTACCAACAGACCATGGTATAGTGATAATCTTGTCCTTTATCATTCAAGCTGATGTTTCAGGACCCTGCAGGATACTTTTCTCCCTGCCTTGAGAAAGGGACCCAGCAAGGTCCCAAAACATCAGTTTGTGATGCCTCTTGCTTTATGTCAAAAAAGGACAAGATTATCACTATGCTAAGGTGTGCTAATTACGGTCCTCATTTTCCTATGATTTTATGGTGGTGCCATCCACCACTTCACTACAGCACCCGGGTACATGTTCTTATTAGAAGGGTTTTCTTGGTGATAAAGGCACTGGAAATTTTAGGGTGGAAATGGGTTTATTTTGCTTGTACAATTTGTTGTGATGAATACACTGCATTGGTAAACAGTATATGTATACTCTATTTTGAGGTCCTGTTGCAGACCTAAACAGCTATTGCTTTAAAAGGAGAACTATGGGGTTCGGGCTTTTCCCCATTGTTCTCCTTAGGGTAACGGGAGGACACAAACTAGCGTCCTCCCGTCACCCTAAGCTCAGTATATACTGAGACGCCGCAGCTGAAGCGGATCCCGACGATTGTGCCGGGATCCGCCCAGCTGCGTGACTGACAGCTGGCTCTGCCTATCTAGAGGCAGAGCCAGCTGTACCCGCCCCCTCCCCCGTCCGTTCCGCCAGTCAGCGCTGGCAGATAGGAGTGGGGAGAGGGGAATCCAGCAGAGAGCCGTGACAGGATCGAGAGGGGAGCGAACGCCAGTATGTGTTCGCTCACCTTCTGATCTACTGAGCCGACCTGTGACAGTCTCATTGTCACAGGTCGGCTAGAACTATGAGGTGAGTGAAGTTCTCCTTTAAAGCAAAGCTGGAGGGCTGGAGTTGCCCCCTGCTGCATTGCATGCTATACTAGGACCCACATGCAGGGGGTGCTGAAGGGGTACCTGCACTTTGTGATGTGAAAGACATGGCTGCTACACATTTACCAGCTCTGTGTTCACATTATACCATATAAAGAATAAAGCAGAATTCCTCTTCCCTTACTTCCCCCTTTCTTCTCCTTATTATAATATCTGCAGGTTGAACCTGCAACATACCTGTATTGAAAGTTATTACCATGGTACCCTAAGGGATTTTTAGATATGAGGAGATCCTCAGAATTACAATCCTAAACAGTCCGTCAATATTTGCTGCTGTCAACAATAATGACACTTTTTTTTATTATTCATCATATTATTTATAAAATGTTTACTGGAGCTCCCACATACAGGTAACAAATGGATTACACCGAGTGACTGGTCTTCTGCAAACAATGCAAACAAAGCCAACGTCAACACATGCAAACATGACAAGATGAATGGACCTGATCTGCCCAGACATCATCAGGGTGAGGTGAAAAGTGCTGCTCCTCTCTTCGGCCTTGTCAGGACATAGAAGTGGGTGGCAGATATAAAAACAGGTAACTACCCAAACATGTGAAGGCAGAGATCTACACAGAGACAATGCACCTTCTCACGCTCCATTACAGGGTTTAGCATATATCACATAAAAAAAAAAAAAACAAAAGAGCAGAGTTATACAACTCCATTTTTTAGATCCAATTACTTTTATTTGATTGTGTCAGTTAAGGGAACAAAAAACATTTTAGCCCCCATAAGGAAATGGGTAATTTTTTTCAACTCCAGGCACAAAAACTTTAAAGCCCCCCACACAAAAATGCCTTTGCATACAACGTTATTACTTTGTACAGTAGCAGTGACATCATCACTATGCTGTATATTGCCTGTGCAGAAACCAGAGTTGTGGGAGGAGCACTGCAAGCCCCACCCACTACAGACTGCTTAAGGACAATTACAGGAGGGGGCGGAGACAAGACCAGTCACTCTGCACAAGGAGAGAGAATAGCAGTGATTGGTCTTTATTACAGGAAGCTCCTCCACAGAGGAAAATTATTCACGCTGAATTATTCAGATCTGGAAGAAATACACAAATAGATTCAAGGAAGAATACACAGAACTCTCATATTTAGACAATATTTGCTTACGATGGAGTTCGCCTTTAAGCATTTTTAAAAAGTATTTTGCTGTTCACAAATGCAAACCCAATATTTCTTTGTATCTAAAGTGAACCTTTTAGTAGTCCCTGCATATTATAAACTGCAGAACTGCACTAGGGCATACCTACAATAACATGTTTTAAAATAATTGCACTTTTGGAACATAATGAGCAAACTTGGTCATCGTTATACAGTAGCTAGTTTATGAAGAGTAGCTGCCTATCATGAGGCTGACAGGAGAGGCAGCAAGCAACGCTGTTAGATTATGCAGCAGGCTTTTTTACCTTAAAACCACCAAGGGCCAAAGAGGCAGCTAGAAATGGATTCCTGAATTATTGCCAAAAGGGGTTTCAATGGGCCGGAGTAGATGGACTTTGATGGGCAAATACAGTATGTTTATGACATCACTTGGCAATCATAAGGGACTCATTGCAGGTGCAGATGACCTTCTTCAGCTGCTTTTACATTCTCATTGGCTTGTATGGGAAGATGAGTTTGAAAATGAATAAAAGCCCATTGGCACTGGCCCTTAAAGTGGAACTGATCTTACAGATACTGGGAGTGAGAGCCGCGTGCCATATAACTACCATGTACATGAGCGGGAGTCATATCATCCGTGGCTGATTAAAGAGGACTCCAGATCTCGTAGACTAGAAAAAGATGGCAGACGTGAAGGATGCGTTGGAGGGGGGCGAGTCTGACATAATGTGTAGGAATGCTGTGCATACTTGCACCTTATGATAAAAGGCAGTGTGAGCACCAAATGGATACAGCTCAGGTTTGATGAAAACCTGTAGTGAAAAATGATGGAGGTCACTCCTTCTTAACATGCTAGTTGCCCAGTTGTCATGCAGATCCAATGGCTTTTATAGTGTCTAAGGCACTAATCAAGAACAACTATCAGGGGTTTCCGAGATCACTCTGACTTTCCAATCGGCATGGTAAATAATATTTCAAGCCGAACTCCAACCTTCTCTTCAGTCTTGCACACTTGTTCAGACTCCTTTCCTGTACTGAGTTTGCCAACTCTGATTTCATTGCACACTGAGCTTCTCACAAGGCGCATTAAAAGCTGCAGCAAATCACATAAAGCCCAACTTATTTCCTGGCTTGAGGGCTTTCAGCATCATCTAGCTCTTTGCTCCCCAGCCTTACTGTTTTCCATTTTTTCAATCATGGAGGCTCCGCATCACATGTGGGCAATACCTAGGGTAGCCTGCATTTAAATATAGTCTGCCAAGAAATTCCCATTCCTACAGACTGACACCCACCCATCAAGGCATTCTGATATTTGCATAACTCCTCCCGAGAGCCAGCTCACTGCTTGTATCAGGGCTGAGGGTTCTTGAGAGGAGTGCTGTGTTATTTTGAGGAAGCTTTGTACAACCAGTCATGATCTGCCTGGCATTGCATGGATGATGTCATTGATGATGTCCATGGGTTAAATTAAGGCTTGTGGTACATAAAAAAAGTTTTTTTTCATAATT